AATAAATATAATGTCTGTGATTAAATCAAATAACATTTTTCTGGAAAATATCTTTATCCTCAGAGAAGTAAGACACTGTGATACTGGTGTTGATGTAGAGCTGCAGTAAGTGATTGATCACATTGACAAAATTAATGGAATAATTGATTAATTGCTGTTGTCAGTTTAAACATTTGATGGCTCTCGCTTCTCTAGATGGATTTCTGCTCTGAGAAATAGAAATAGATTCTAGACTGACGTTGGAATAAAACAAGATGTTTATATAGATCATATTTTGGGCGTCTACGCTATTTTATAGACAAAAACAACTTTAATGAAAATAAATGATAAATGAATGATTATAAAAATAGTTGCAGCCCTGCACTGGAGGATGGAAGAGTTACTGGCTATTTTTAAATCATAAGATTCAACATATCGACAGAAAAACTTTTTTTTTCCTGTAGCCTCCGGTGGCTTAAAAAAAAAAATATATATAAAAGAATATTTCTTTTTACTTACACATACATACATATGTACATTTACACAAAACTGGAAGCAACGCAGCGATAAAAGCAACAGGTCCTGACCTTTGACCCCAATAATCTGACTAATCCTTTCCATTCAAGATCTAAGTGGCAGAAGTGAGGTCCTAAGTAGGTCACGGTGGCTGAGGTTTGGCTCCAGTGAGCTGTTCATTCAGTTGGTAAACAGCGATATCGTGGAAAATAGACAAGCTTCCCAACTCCCAACATCTCCAGTGTGACACTGCACAGAGGAACACAGCCCGAGGTCGTATGAGGAAGTTAGACACTTAAGTGGTTAAGGAAATACAGTGAGCGAGAGGCGTGTGGTTCTGAGTGTGTGGGTTTCTAGTTTCTTGACTGTGAAGACGACAGTGCAAGATATTAGTGTCGCAATTTCAGGATCTGACAAACTGTTGATGAGATTTTTACATGATAAATATATTTAACTGTTTAAAATTAAAAAGCCCTGGATGAAAGTCTTCCGGTCATTTTTTTCCTGCAGGAACATTTCATATCTGTAGAACTACACCAAGTGACTGTAACATGAGAAAACCCTGATAAATGTCCGAGGCACCCTACAGACCCATGTCATGTTCTGAAATGTGTTTTTTGGTGGAATCAACAGTGAAACACGCTAAATGATTCAACTTGCAATGAAGTAGAACAGCAGAACATTCATCCTTTAGGAGGCTGGAACATTCACATGTCACCATCTCTTGACATGAGACTGAAATGATTCATACTTTATCAATAATTTAGTTAATGAGTTGATTGATTAGCTGAGTGATTGTTTTCTATCTTTTAAATGAAAGTTAACTGAATAATTCTGAGGCTGGTTGGATGAAACAAGGCAGCGACAGAGATGCAACCGTTGAATGATCATTTTTGGTTTGTTTTTTTAAAGAAAAAGGCCAAATAACGTCTAACTTCTTGAATTTGAGGATTGGAAGATTTTTCATCAGGTTGAAGTTCAGACTATTTTAAAACTACTGATCAAGCTTTTTTCACAGTCATGTTAAAGTATGAGACGACTCTATGAGGCCTACAGCGATTGACCGAGTGCAATAGGAAATAAAAGTCACTTGATTTGAACTAATTTCCCTTTGACATGAAGGGAATTACACCTGACATCCAACAGACACATGGTTAATGGAAACCCATCCGATGAATCAACAGTGAAATCAGGTTTCTTATCAAGTTCTTTCTAAGATAAGATAAAACTAAGACTGTTCTAATGGTACATGTGAAACCTGTTTGAGTGTGAGGTGACTGTATATGAGACCTGCAGTGATTTAACAAGTGTGATGAGTTATTTCATTTGAAGTCATTTCACTTTTTCTCATTATTTCTTTGCAGTTCTGCAGTGAACACGTTAAAGTGATGAACGCGTCTACATCCGGTTAGAGAAACTCAGTGAGGCTGCTTCAACCTTTTATATTTAAATATTTTATATATATACATATATATACATATATGTATATATATTTAAACCAGTGTAAATGGTCCATCAGACATGTGATAGAATATGACAGTAGCCGATCCTCTGCACCGTGTACTTCTACTTCACTCCACGTTACTGAAGTATGAGCTCAGTGTTTTAGTCAAGTATTAGTACTTTGACTTCGGCCTGTGTTTGTGTGGAGGGAAGCTCCAGGACCGACGTGGAGCTCAGCAGCTGCGGGTGAGTGAGGCCTGTTCGGGGCGAGCGGCTGCTGCAGCCAGGTGAAAGCCCTCCGACACACCTGGAACTAGCTTCAACTTAGCCGCAGTAAAGTTAGCATGGACACGGAACTCACCCTGGCTGGAGGAACAGGAGCTGCGCTGGCGTCGTCGTCCTCCACAACAACATGAATGTGAGGTGTCGTTCAGTCGATGTCGGAGCGGTTTGACAGGAGCTTCGGCCCGGAGGCGGCGGGCGGGTCGCGGTGATGTAAGTAGCCGGCTAACGTTAGCCTGCTGTCGACGCTTCAGCTCCGCTAGTGGCGGCTCCTGTGCAGCTAGCCGCAGTTAGCCGTTAGCCGCTAGCTTGTTTACTTCCAGCTGTCAGAGCGAACTGTCTCTTCCGGAGATCTGCGACACGACACCGCCAAACAAACCGCGAACAGCCCGGGGGACGCGTCTCTCACACTGTGCCAACACTTCCAGGGAGCTACGTCAAAGTTTGGCCGCACTCCTGAGCTGCGAGCAGAGCCACCATACTCCCGCGGACCGCGTCTGTCTGCCCCGGTTCAGTCTGAGCTCTGCCCCGCTCCCAACACGGAAACTGCACAAAATGGAGGCAGATCAGCGCCGCGTTCAGGCGCTGCAGGAAATTCCACTTTCAACCTGTGAGGACTTAACTCTGCTGAACACAGACATGCAGAGGGACAGAGAGGGGGACAGGCAGAGAGACAGAGAGGGGGACAGGCAGGGAAAGAGACAGTCAGGGGGACAGGCAGAGAGACAGACAGAGCACAGACACCCGGGATTCACCTGCACAATATCCCTGACAGAAACACTAAACAACCACAGAGAGACAGAACAACCACAGAGAGACAGAACAATCACAGAGAGACAAAACAACCACAAAGAGACAGAACAACCACAGAGAGACAGAGGACAGCCACAGACTGTTCGGGGATCTGTTTGAGTTCTCTCATGAGATGTGATGATACATTTCTTTAATAAAACACATTAAATATCAGAGAGCAGAAGAAGAGTCTGGAGTGTCTCTGTTGTCCTTCGAGGACAATTTAAATCTAACAAACACTTCGTTAAAAAGCAGATGTTATGGTGAGTTCAGGTTCGGAGATGACAGCATGTGTTGTCTGTGCAGAAGTGACGCATGCGCACACGTGACAACACTTCCTGTAAAGATGGCGGCGACCAGAGGACTGTGGAGGACGTGGTGCCTGTTGTCACCCAGGACCCCGCTCCTGTTCCCCGCTGCAGGCCGACCGCTCAGCTCCGTGAGCGGGGACGTGCTGCCCCGGACCTCGCTGTCCAGTCCCCCGTGGCCGCAGCAGACGAGCCCGGTCCCGCAGGAGGAGGAGCGGGGTCGACACGCCGCCGTGGTGAGCGCCGTGAACCAGCGGATCCAGCGGCAGGACTTCGGCCGCCTCTTCGCCGTGGTGCACTTCGCCGGGCGTCAGTGGAAGGTCACCGCGGAGGACCTGGTCCTGATCGAGAGCCACGTCGAGGCGGAGTGCGGGGAGCGGATCCGGATGGAGAAGGTGCTGCTGGTCGGGGCGGAGGACTTCACCCTGGTCGGAAGGCCTCTGCTGGGGAAGGAGCTGGTCCGGGTCGAAGCCACCGTCCTGGAGAAGACCGAGTCATGGCCCAAAGTCCACATGCAGTTCTGGAGGAGACACCGGTTCCAGCGCAAGAAGATCATCATCCAGCCGCAGACGGTGCTGAGGATCAACAGCATCCACCTGGAGCCCAGACTCTCGTGATGAAGACTGGACCATGACACACACACACACACACACACACACACACACACACACACACACACACACACACACACCTCATGTGAACACATCAGGGTCAGTGATGATCACCAGTTTGTTTTTTACATCAGTGTCAAACCAGGACTGAACTTGTTGGATGAACTTATGTAAATAAATTAATTACTACAGAGACGCGACTGAAATACATTGATTATATTTGTGCTTTTCATTACTTCTCTAACATCCTGACATTTAAAACTCTGGAGAAGCTGTTAAAATAACGTGAAGAAGATCTTAAACCGCAGCAATAAGAATACAGGTTAACCATCAAAATCATTTTAATCAAGCTGCTGGTTTAAGATCTAAAAGTTGAATAGTGAAGCTAGCTCCTCTTTATCAACCCTGAAACACAAGACTCAGGAGACAGGAGGTTTTAACAGTCTGTTTAACAACAGTTTTATTTTGTAAACCCGACAGCATCGTCTCTGGAAACAGGGAAACTGTTTGGCTGCTCCCCCCCCCCTCCCTCACAGGAAGGGTCTGAAGGCACTGTTGAACATTTCTGCTCAGTGGTGAACGATAGCTGAAATCCTCTAAAGCTGGAGGAGGGGGTGTTTAAACCAGGAGCTCCTCCAACAGGCGAAACACAAAGTGAACCATTAAAACCAAATGAAACGTCGCAGCTGACCAGAGGTTCCCGTCTGGAGTCTAAATTCAGCGAGTACATGAACACAGAGCAGCACGAGCGTCCCGAAGGAACCTCCAGGATACTTTTCAAAACGCTGACCATGACGGTATTGCTAAGTTTCCTGTGTGATGTTAATATGCAGAGTTAAGACAAGTGGTTTTCATTCACAGGTGAGAGACGGACACAGCTGTCATCTCTGCACGATGCTGACTTAGTTTTAAAGATTAACGCGGACACAGTCAGAGGCTCTGATCACACCTGGTATTAACTTCTGTCCTCCTGAGAGATCTGCTCACAAGTGGACAGCTCATCTGTCCTCACACCTGATAGTAAAACATGTCCTTCCTTGCTTTATTCCTGAGATAATTCTGTTCTTCCAGTTTGTGTAACTGTAGCTGAGTCCTCTGGTGCGTGTCTGTTCACACAGCCAAATGAATGAGACTACATGCGTCCCAGAAGACCTCAGTGTGGTCAGACGTGTGTCGCACCTGACCCTTTCTTTGCTCTGTTACATAAATATTGTTCAGAGGAGTCGATGTGTTGTTTAAAAGCTCTGAGCACAAATACAACACGTTATTTACAGCATCTGTGTTTTACTTTCTCAGCATTTCAGCTTCGAACCTCGTGAACACACCAATAAATTCACAACTCAGGAAACTGGAGATGTTGAAGATCCATTCACACCTGAACTTAGACACTTGTGATAGGATCACTCAGGACGCACGTTGATACCAGGTGTGAATGTTGCTGCAGGCGTCTCTCTGCTTGGGGACAAGCTGGAAAAGAGTCTGAGGGATTCGAATGAAGCGTCACCTTCGTCCTGGTGCTCACGTGGTTTTGTCAACGACAAACCTCCGTGAGGCACCAGGATGTAGTTTACTCCTCTGACAGCTCAGAGAGGAAACATGATAATCTGAGAAAATGTTGCACCAGAAAAAGACAGAAACTTAGAGAAGTGATTCAGCGACAAGTTTCAGTGGAATTCAGTTAAATCTCACTCGAGAGCTGTGGTTGTGTCGCTCGTCTTTAGCGCTGGGATCGTGTCAGGAAGTGAGCTCTTCATGGACAGAATGCACAGGAGGGAAGATTCCAGCAACCGAAAGGTTTTTCACATTACATACGAGCATGTAAGCGTTTGATGAATTTAAAAAAAACAAACAACCAGTCATACACCCCCCCCCTTGTCATTTTGGTTGACTGCAGTTCAATCACATAAAACTGCAGAAAACTAAAAGTTTAGATTAAATATGAACCTCACTTCACTCCCGAGTTGAATGAGAGGCAGCACCGTTCAATCACTTTACATCAAAAAACAGACTTGGTCAAACATTTTCCGATTAGTCGAGCGTCACTGGTGAATTTAACTAAGTGATCCAGCGTCATATTTAAAAAACGGATGTTTCCACCCAGGTCTGTCAGTGAAGGGACGTGTGCGAATGTGACGTTTCTTAACATTTTCACACTTTTCCCAGAGAATAATTCACGAACCAGGCACATTCAGGGGACTGATATCTACGAGTCTGTGTAATTTGGTGCAGCTTGATTGGATTTTAGAGACTGTTGGGTCTCGGCGGACGTTTGAGCTCGACTGAGTGACATTCTCATTTACCTCTCTTTTGATTAGGTGTGGTTTTTTTTGCTCACAAGCAAAGATTAAAATGCCTGAATTCTAACTGAGGTTTTGTGGGACATTTTCTCATCCTTACAGAATGAAAGGAAAAAATAAATCTTTAATTTATCAAGGCCGAGTGGACCGAGAACAGAGTCTCTTCCTCCTGTCACAGCAGCAAGGAACATCCCCGTTTTCAAAACAAAATCTCAAGTATAATCTTCAAAAGTCCAATCAGAATTGTCCAAACGATCGAGCCTTCTTTCTCATCTGCAGCCTGAGGGGATTGCTCTTGCTCGTGTCCGTCCTTTGACAACAAGCCTGCGTCAAATGGATTCTGGGGCACCGTCTGATCGTAAAACACCCGCATTTCAAACTCGCTCTCCTGGTGAGACGGGTGGCCGTAAATGCCGATGCCCACAGGCCTCACAAAGTCCCCTGGCACCACCACCACGTCCTGGCCGCAGGTGGCGGACTGCAGCTTGTAGGTGTCGAAGCTCGGCTGCAAGGTTTTATCTGACACGTAGAGGTCTGCGTCCCCCTTGAGGCTCTGCATGTGCAGGATGATTCGGCCATCATGGTTGAGGCGTAGGTAGCTGTAGTTTCCTGCCCCAATGTGGCCCTGAACCACGTGGAGGAGAACCCACTCCTCAGGGACACTGTCGTCCTCTGAGGCCAGGAAGCTTCTGGTCTGCGACACCAGGAGGGCGACGACCAGGGCGCTGCAACACAGCATCATGGTGAAGGCATCTGTCAGTCAGAACCCGCCTGGACGACGCCAGACAGCCTGATGAAACAGGATGAGGCACAGATGAAAACCACAAACACAGAGGGAAGTTCTGCACCAGATTTGACAGAGGAATCATGAAGTCAAACCACAGATCATATCTGAACTTGTATTAAAGGAGACACGAACAGTCAAAGTCACAGTCCCACCAAAAAAAGCCAGATCCTCAATACTTAGAATCATAGATTCATAATATTTCAGTGTGATGACACAGAATAACAGTTAAAGACAGAGAACAACCAGATAAGTCAAGCACCATTTCATCTCCATAACAAGAACCAGAGACCTACAGTGGCATCCTCAAGTTGAATAACTTTATTCATAGAGCACTTTCCAACAACAAGTACAAAGTGTTGCGCAACAACTATTTAATTAAGTATTTTGCACTTCTCAAACTATTTTTGCACAATTTCCGTCATATCATGCTCAAAAGAGATTTTCAATCTCAACGGGAACTTTTCTGGTTAATTAAAGGTTAAATACAAAAAGATTAATAATGTCCCATAACTACTCTGAGTACTGTGGTG